ACATTTACATCTCTGTAAATGACGTGACTGGAAAAGCAATTAGGTCTACAGCAGGCAGATATTTCCTGTACAACATCAGAAATTATTCGAAGTCTTATTACAATATTTAAGCTCTTAAGAAGTGGAGAACGTTTACAGACTGAATACAGATTCGACCGCTGAAAAATTTGCAGTCACTCATGTAACTGCGAGGTATGAGAAAATGAAATATTCATAAAGGCCGCGAAATAATACACTTAGAGACACGGAAGATTTACATATTCATTCATTCTCAGTTTCTTTCCTTATCTCTTCATTTATTTCTTCTCCTCTATATTTCCTTCCTTCCTTCTCTTTTTTCTTCTATTGAGATCCTTATAATTCCATATACAGCCTGCAATTAATTATATGCACGGAATTTGTTATGCTCCATATGTCGAAAGACACGCAAATGTACAGAATTTCTGCTAAAGCTATTATCAGAAAGTTTCGCTATGCTTAACTTACAACTAAATTATAAAGTCTGATTTTCGCTTAGTTAGCGTTACAGGAAGCTCCTTGTATGTGGCGAACCTGACTTCTTTCAAAGAGAAAATTAATTCGTTTTTAGTTACCATTTATCAGTATTTTACTTTTATTTTGTCTATTTAACGATACTGTATCAGCGGCGTGGTCTAATAATCAGAGTTCCTGGCTACAGATCCATAGGTTCGGGTTCGATTTCCTGAGAAGTAGTGGGTCTCGAACGGGGTTCACTCAGCCTCGTGAGGATAATTGAGGAGCTATTTCAAGGAAATAGCGGCTCCGCTCTAGAAAACAAAAATTAACGGCAGTGGGGATTCGTTACGCTGACCACATGACACCCTCTATCCAATTAGGTTGGCACTAACTTCGCCGACAAGCGGCGGTCGCTCGGTCGCTAGAGTTCGCTTGCGGACTAAAACCACGCAGGTTTTTTTGTTATGCTATAACACCGAGGCGCTGAGGCCGTCAACACAACAACGAAGTAAATTAAATTTTACCAGAATGGTTAAACGTCAATAATTATCAGTGGTTTAATAAGTTTTATTGCCTCGTTCAGTCAATATATATTTCGGTCACACGGATCTTCATCAGGTGGGTTTTAAATAAATAAACAAAATATATTATTATTGTATTTCGTAGTTGTATGCTTCCTTTTTTTCAATAAGCGGCGTAGGTGCTCCGGGTCCCGGGTCCTGACTTCTAGCCTTCACCCTTCAGCAAGACCAAATTCATCTATACATACGTATTATTGATTTTGGTTCCTATATTTTATTTCTGGTTAATACGTGCCGATTTTTCATATCATTGCCCATAAACATTCCTATCTTATTGCAACTACATCACGACCCCCAAATTACCGTCCATTTCTATGTATCAACAGTGAGCTGGCTGGCTAGTCTCGAAAATGCTTGCACTAATGCTGTTAGGGTTTTGCGACGGGCTGATCCCCCGTCCAAGGAGACCTGCCGACTGTCTTGGATTAAGAAACTGAAGTGAAACGAAGCGTTTCACGGATGCTCCATGCCCCAAGTGGGAACAACAGGAACAGAATAAGACTAAGAAGAAGAAGAATGCTGTTTTAATAAAAGAAAACAAAAGTAACAAAAATCATTTAAAAATAAAGAAACCCTCTTTCAGGTAAATACGTTTAAGTTACGGTGCAGATGGTTGTGTCTTTACCACAACGTCCAAAAGCGCTCTCGGGCTGGGAGTAATTTAACTGGGGAGAAGTCGGCATTCACCTCTCTAATATTGAATTGAAAATGATACATAATTTTTACACATCTTGAGAAACATGGTTCAGTTGCAGGGCTCATTAAATTATTTATTTTTTAACTGATCGATTCTCTCCTGCGAGCATATCCGTTTGGTTCTATAAATTATTATTATTATTATTATTATTANTATTATTATTATTATTAGTATTAGTATTATTATGAGCCTGGATATTACAGTCAGTATAGTGACAAGCTACGTGCCGGAAGGCCAGGGTTCAATTTCCGGCAAGGGCAAGAAATTTTCTCTCCTCTGCAATGTACAGATCGTCTCTGGGGTCCACCGAGCCTCCAATCCAATTGAGGAAAAGGGGTTCTTTCCCCGGGGGATAAAGCGGTCGGGGCGTCAATCTGACCACTCATCCCCATCTATTGCGGAGGTCAAGAATGATGAACATATACCTCCACATTCCGTTATGGCTTCATGGCGTGGTGCTTAATTAATTAAACACAGGACAATTAATATTATTAATATTACTATTATTAGCGTCGTCATTGTTATACATAGCCTTAAATGTAAGTTACGTCACATCCAAACACCTCTCAGAGAAACGGTTTATTATGTGAAGTATGGCAAGTACCCACATTTTGTTATATGGTGAACCATTTTTGACAAATATGACCCATTCATATTTGAAATGCACGTCAGATGAAGGGTGTATTGTGTTGGGAGCGATAAAAATTGACTTCGCCCTCCCAAGTTTTATGTTACTTTCACACTTAGGTGGTAACACTCCTATTATACTTTCGGTTTAGGTATTGGGTTGGATGAATAATACAATTTCTAACAGACAATTCGTAACGCATTCCTGTAGTGTTGGCGATACTGAACGTAGTCTGGTAGTGTCATTAATAATACACGTTCTCGACCGTGTAGTTCCCATGACAACTTGAGTCGATATTAACACTACACGTGTCTGTCCGGAACCTGCAAGTTTCAGCGTTGCATGTCAGCAGTAGTGTACGTTCTGTTTTGTTGGGAAGGCACGTCACAACAGACTTAACAAAAGAGCGGAGCGTGCTACAAACCTCAGCATCAAAGTGATCGATAGTACATCTTCCACTGAAAGTTACTGTCTTCCTGGATGCGACGCCGTATATCTGGTAGAACGTTACAAATTTTTGGAGGATCCTGCTGCCTCCATGTTCATGGCATGTCATATACTTTTCGAAGGAATCTGTTGTCTCCACCATCAGGGTAGAAACTCTTCTACTTTTAGGAGAAAACTGATGCCTCCAACTTCAGAGTAGAAAACTCTTCTACCCTGAAGATGGAGACACCCGATTCCTCCGAAAGTATGATAATGTTCTGCAAGATTACACGGCCCCATATCCCAGAAGACAGAAACCGTTATAGTCACGGGCGTGAGAACCCGAAATCCCACTTAACAAACACCTGTTCAAATTAATATTTCTCCTTCCTCCCTTCCCTGCCATAAGGATCGGCTCCTTGAAGGCATTCCCCAGCTTCTGAAATGTATCCGATCAATTTCTCGTTTCCTTCTAGTAACAGGCCCAAGTCATTCTATATGACGTTGATTTCTTGTGCTATGTCTGTTTGTGTCCGTCCAGATGGACCCTGGGGCCCACCCAGCCTCATATCCAGTGGATAGCGGGGGCGATTTCAGGCCGGGGTGTGAAACTGACTCCTCACCTCCATCTAGTGTCGAGGTCAAGAATGGTAGAGCTATACCTCAACTCCCCCACATGTCTTCATGGTATAGTGCTTAATTAATTAGGCACAGGGAGAACTTCACTTTCACCTAAATATATTTACAGTCTGACTAGAGAAGGGAAAGCTGAAACCAATGGGAAGCTGAAACCAATGATTCAGGAAGCGTATTGGTTGTAAGCTGATTCCAGAGAAAGCCATTCCCCATGAAAAGAAATACAAATACATATTATAACTTAATTAGGAAAAATTGTGGAGTTCAGATATTTGCCATAATAAGGCGCCTTGTGACTGATGCAGATTTAGGCTATCTAAAGTTATATTACTCGAATTGCCCAACAATTAAGGAACAAGCCTGAAAGGGGTACATCTGTAACTGAGTCTATATGTTACTTAAACAACGCAGTTCTATGCTGAGGAAGCAATCACATCTGTCGTCAATGTAGAAGTTCTTAAAATTCTTTGCGGTTACATTTTCCTGAACTGGTCAATGTGGATGTTTTCTGAGCACATTATTAAAAAAGGAAGAGTTCTCACAAACCCATAAACGAAATCACATTCCATGATAAAGTTGTAACTACACTTACATATCCACATCAAAATAATATCAACACTCACATAATAGACACGATACACTGAACAGAAGTCTGCTCGGTCGTTCATGACCTACTGCATAACATGCAAACTCATTGGTTCTAAATATAGAGGTAGACCATTTCTTTGAAATATAGACAAACATCTATGAAACTATACGGGGTCTCTCATCCCAGAAGATAGTCCTCTTCTTAGATCCATAATTAACTCATGAGCTGCTGACCCGTCCCTCTGGACCGAGGTTCTCTACTAAATCCCATGCTTCGTAGTTTCCAAGAAGGAACGCTGTGTTCCACTTCTTGATATCGTCCATATATCGATATAACTGCTGAGCAGTTCTCGCTCAAAAGTAGTAGGGCCCAGTGACTGCATCCCCAGGAACGTCATGATCCAGTAGGACAAGTTCTACCATTGGCGGAATTACTCATGATTTTCCTTGCTATGTTGCATAATCCAAAAGTTCGAAACGAGCTTCACCGGACATTATTAATGTCAACCATCCTGTCATGCGCCATCAAGATATAAAACGGAAGGCAAGATAATTTCTTACTCCAGTCAACGCCATGTCTCTAGTGTGATTAGTTCCATAACAATAGTGTTGTATTTGCAAAACCGCAAGTCAGGCACTCTGAAAATACATGTGTGTATATATATCAGAGTAGGGTAAAAGGTTCCCTCCCTTATATCACTCCAGTAATATCTGAATTTGCGTAAGTAATGCCAAAAATTGATATTTTTTTGTCTAAAATGTATACACGTTGTAGTCTCGGTAAATGCAGCACATATTCAATATTGATTATAAAAAGAATATCTAAAAGTCACGGGAATGGTTTCAGATGGTTCCATTAAATTGACAAACAATATCATCCTCTGGAAGTTGAAATAAATGTTATAAAAGTCCGATTTACATCCTGGAACAGTCACTTTCTTAGCCACGGTATGTGCTTCCGTTGCAGATGGTGGTCATGGAAGATGAGGGAGACAAGAATGACGTCCTGCGTCAGAAGAGAGGAGGAGGAGAGAGGAGGTATGTCTACGACGCGGTCTTCGGCGAAGATTCCACACAGGTGAGAAGACTTTCCTGGTGTCAGCTTTGCAAGAGGGATGACAGAAGACTTTGGCGGGCGATAGCGGTAGATTTACGGCAGGAACAGGGATATTTCTGTCCGTCACCGCGCCCAAACCGGCCTTGCAAACCATTGGATACCGCGAGTCAAAGGTTTTATTTATGGAGACGATGTCCGTAAATGACTGGAGTTTAATCAAATTATTGAAGCCAAACGTGTATACATATATAGGATGTAAATAAATATACATATGTTACAACGCTCTGCGGTAGATAGATGGGTTCAGTGTGATCCCATTTTGTTAACACACCCGTGTCCGGAAACGCTTTGTTTATGTGCTAGGGCCTCTGAAATGTGAAGGAGGACGCCCTCACCTCCTACCTCTGTGGCTTACTGGTGACATTCACCTAACATTTCTCCAAGAGACCTTACCCGTGCTGCCGGAAGTGGTGCCTTTGGAAGTCCGCCGTGAAATGCGGTTCCAGCATGATGGCGCCACGGCACACTGCACTAATGTCGTCCGTGAGTATTTGGATGAAACCTTCAGCAACAGATGGATTGCACGTGGAGACCCAATAACCTGGCCCCATCGCTCCTCTGGCTTGACTACATTGGATTTCCTTCTCTGGGGGTACACGCAAAGCCTGGTGTACCAGTCTCCAGTGGAGACATAACATGATCTTGCGGCAAGGATTGCAGTAGCAGCTGGAACCACCCGGGAAATGCCAGGAATCTTTCAAAGAGTTCGGCATAACATAGCCAGGCGGCGGAGAACATGAAATAAAATCGGCGGCAGCCATTTTTAGCAACTTTTATAATGTAAAACAACGATAACGTCTCCTAAAACTTATGCATCCTCTCGGAAACTTTGTGGCCCTTAGTGCCAAAAGGAAGCGTTTCCGGACACGGGTGTAGTAACAAAATATGATCGCACTGAACCCATCTATCTACCACAGAGCTCTGCAACATATATTTATTTACATTCTGTATGTAGACGGCGTAACTGAAACCACTTTTTCGTGTTCAGAGGGTCGCAATTTGTGTGTATATTCGTCAAAATCTCTACATCAGTTGTTTTCAGTATCTCAGTACTTTCTCTTAAATACTACGAATATGAGAAAGTAAAAGCAACGCAACACGGAACAAGCTAATTGAAAAGTAATTTTTGCATTTAAAGAGTTACCATTAATGATCCGCTTTTAGCATGAATTATTTCTGTATTTTTACCATAGATTAGTGTAAATGTTGAGCTTATGGTCCTTTGTTTGAGGAAGGTAGGAATGTTAGTGCTCGTACGAACACAACTGCATCACTGTTGTTACTTCAGAATGTCTTTCTAGAACCTGGGGATCAGATTATGGAAGCGTGGGAACCCCCCATGCCACTCTTAACATCACGCAGCTAATTCAGCGCGAGAAAAAATTAAATAAAGACTGTAGCACCATCTATGGAGTAAACCCTGAACACGCGAGACTAAAACCTCATGGAAATCCACGAAGTGTAGTAAAAATGTAGCATCTTAGTTTCTTATCGTCTCTCTTATTGGGCTGTGTAAGCCGCTCCTCTGAAGAATTCATTTTACAGGGTAGGGCAGGAGCTTCTAGAAGGGACTTCTCATTACTCGGATATCGATTAGCCGGCAGATCGATTGCTAAGATTGCTACTTTCCGTCACGTCCATTTGCTTAAACATATGACTCCATCACTTAAATGAGAATGTTTCCTGAGTCTACTGACGTCACNACCGTAATAATTCTAAATAGGCCGCAACCGCCTTCTTCCAAATTTATATTTGGTCAACATTATCTTACATCAGCACCACAGAATTCCTCAGTTTGGCTGACATTGTTAAATAATCGAAGTGTTTAGAAAACACTCAACACAGCGCCCCTTCGTCCACCAGAAACTTGTACAACCTCACTTGGGATCGAACCCGGAAACCGGGAAGCACGGGGAGCCGGCGACTAACCGCATGAGCTATGGCACGGCCGTCTTTTTTGTCTGGTAGGGCTAGAGTATGCAGCTGAAGCAAGGCAAACGAAATTTCGTACGGAGCTAAACTAGAAGCAGGCATGTATGTTATGTATACGGTACCATTTGCAAGTCAGTAATTACATGGCGACGCTGTGAAACTCTGAGTCTATTATCGTCAAATTTAATGTTGGCAGAATCAACATTTCAGTGGTGAGCGTTCACAAAGATTAATAAAACAACAGTAATGAACATTAATAGATCCATAAGAATAGAAATCATTCGAAGAGGAAAAAAGGTTTCATGGGTTCAACTTGGCCGGTCACACTAGCTGCGCGGTCTATGGCATGAACTATCTTCGCTCGCTCGGACGTTGGGATCGTGGGTTCGAATCCCACTTAAGGTATGGACGTCTGTGTGTGATTATTCTGTGTTTGTGTTGTCCTGCGTGTAGGTAGCGGCCTTGCGANCGTTTATTTTGTGTTTGTGCTGTCCTGCGTTTAGGTAGCGGCCTATCGACGGGCTGATCACTCGTCCAAGGAGTCCTGCCGTCTGCGAAAATTGATTACGGAACTGAATAAGAGGCAAGGGCCCTGAATGGGCTGGAAAAGCCATTGAAAAAAATGGGCTCCTTGAAACCCCTTGTTGCCCTTCTCATTGCACTGACTCCTGTGTAAGCGTTTCTGTGCATCTGAAAATTGTGGGATGTTTCAATTATTATAATTCAAGGCTTAGCCCATAAAAATTATTTCAGTTGGTACACTTTGATGTTTCCTTTCTTCCTAGCTGCACGAGTGGTTATGTTGGTTCTTTTCATGTTTGTTTTAACCGCAGTCATAGAAACGAACAAAAAAGAGAGCTTACTGAACACACCTACAACAGGGAGCGAAAGAAACAATGAAGTGTACCATTTAATTAAATTTTAATATACTTGAGCTTGGATTTTAATCGATTATACCTAAAAGTTCGACGAACGATGATGGACTCTAAAGCCTAGCGTGCACCAACTAGCAGACAATAGTAAAATTTTTATATTACGTGTTGACGGCCATGCTATTGAGCGAAACACGTCGCAAAACGAGTTAACACACGAATGTAAATGATTTGTACATAGAAGCCACAAAACTTAATGTTATAATGAAGGGACTGAATGATCACTAATGCTCATACAGTAGCTGCTGCCTTTACAAAGGAAGACATTGGAAACCAAATCTCGCTAAGAGAGAAATGTTTTTTCCTATGTAGTATGAAAATCTGAATGGGTTTGAAGTTTATTGTGTATGTAATTTAAAAACTAAAAATAAGAATACTGCCACGTGTAGGGGTGACTTATAAGGGGGCTTTGGATTGGATGATTGAATTTACTGCACCTTATACATTCACACATTTAGGACTACAAGTAACACAGCGCTATCGCTATCCTGCACACTCTGCAGTTCACCGTTACATACGCACTAGGATTCTCAGTCTTCACTAGCCGTTTCCTGGCAACGGATTTATCACAGTCTCACTGCAAATAACACATGAATTCTTTTTTTCACATTTTAATTGCGTTCTTGCCATTTCTGCGGCTGCGAATTCCCGAGACTCGACTTGATCACTCTCGACTATTGTTGTATAGTACGTCTACTATTCATGTCCTCTGGAACACTTCTTATAACCACTTTGCACGGACCCCACGGAAAACACCGTCTTCTGTTGTCAAAACTGCGTGCTTACTGGTCCGTTACGTAGAAATGGTTGTCCTATTGTCGCGTGCTCGTGTGTTGCAGGAAAGTTTTTATCAACACGTTGCCTAGCAATGGATATACACGTCACATTTTAATATAAAGCCAAGAAGAAGTTAAAGTGTATAGTAATATAACAAAGGTTACTGAGAATGAAAGTTGGAACGTGTTCAGACATTGTACCACAACTCTCGCACGCGCCGGAAGCCTCACTTTATGCTAACAATGTCGAGTAATTGTAATATACGAGTATTTGTGGCTTCTCTATTACGTCCATGGTAAGAAGCAGGAAATACAAAGGACGTAAATGTTGCATATATGTACGTAAGCCTATATTTACCGCTTCGCGATTAAGACGAATGGATGAAACTAAAGTTCCGCTAATCCTTAACATCAGCATTAGATGAAGTTGAGAGGTCAGTATCAGGCTCCGGCCGGTTTAACGGTACACCCAAACCGGTCTGTATGTGTCTTGTTGGGAGCCAAACCGAGTAACCCACCTTACAGGTAGTCGGTTTGCTCACACACATGTCCTCACTTATCAGCTTTTATGTACAGACGCTAAATCCTAATTTTATTGCAAACAGTTAAGTACCTTCGGGATAACAAGCATAACCTGTCCGTTGAATCTGTTCACGCTGTCTATGCGAATAACGCATACTTCAAGCACTTAAGTTTTCTTTGTGTCGCCGTTTCAGGATATGGTGTACGAGGCCACCTCTAGGGGGCTGGTGTTGGGTGTTCTGATGGGATACAATGCCACAGTGTTTGCTTACGGAGCTACGGGCTCTGGCAAGACGCACACCATGGTAGGCAATTCCGAGCAACCTGGCATCATGGTCAGGGCCCTCAACGATATCTTCCAGGCTGTCAAGGACTCCGCAAACCCTGAACAGTTTACTGTAAGTTCAGAAATCTTAGGTTAGGTTACACCAAATTCATGGTCTTTTACAGTGGAACAAGAGGGCTCTTGTCGGCTAGTCGCTGGCTTCCAACCGCGGCGGCCCAGGTTCCAGCCCAGGTCAGGTCATTTGGGATTTGTGGTGGACAGAGTGGCGTTTAGGCAGGTTTTCTTCGAGTACTTCCGTTTCCCCTGAGCTTTCTGATTCCACCGACTGCTCCACACTCATCACCTATAATCTGGGGCTGGTACAGTAAGCCAGAAGTGGCCACAGTACCAAGTCGACTCAGTCTCACCACACTAATAATAATAATAATAATAATAATAATAATAATAATAATAATAATAACAATAACAACAACAACAACAAAACGTCTGTCAGTCTCGGGGAAGAGATTTTAATTATTTCACAACAAAGTGTTGATGAAAATATTTTAACCTAAGAGGAATTAACAGTAAGGAGGAGAAAATTATATAATGCAAAGCATTTAAATTTTGTGAGCTCCACCAAACTTCAGTAACTGACAAATTTAGACAGAGTGTCTTAACAGGAAGAAATTACTTGGGATGTAGAGGAGTAGACGGGAGGATAATAATAAAATTAATTTTGGAGATACGAGAGGTGTGGAATGGATTCAATCCCCTCAGAATCGGATGCAGTGGTGGAATTTTGGGTTCCATAAAAGGAGGGAAATTTCCCACCAGCTGAGTAATTACAAATGTTTAAGAAAAATTATTTGATGTAGTTAGTTGTACTAATAGAAACTGGTACGACAGAGGTCAGAAGCAAGTAACCGACAAAGCAGCATTGCTTTTACTTCCGGAATAAAATCAATTCCTCTATGGGTATGATGAACTCGTCGTGACATATGTATGTAGGCGTATTTCAGTGTGACTCATAGTTTAAGGATTTCCCCAACATGCATATACTGCATATGTGTAGTAGCCTACATATTAGATGTACATAAATTGTCTTCTTTTGCACTAAACATAACTGGAGTTTGAATCAAGAAGTTCATGTATATGTGTAGTTAGGACTGGCAAGTTATATTTGTTTGCTTATTTATTAATTGCATTTCGACTGGTGCTTCTACTTCCACCAGATCTACGTCTCGCAATTGTAATCATACTACCTGTACCACTAGGACTTGTGCTCTTGTAAAGTTAACCATGTGTGATAAGGTATTTCAGTTATACAAATCGAACACTGAAGCGTGCCAATTGAAAAAGTGCCTTATTATTATTCATCGAATGCCAGTGAATTGATCACGTGTACATCAAATACGAATCGAAACGTTAGCGGCTGCTTCAGATCGCGCTGTCAACCTACACGGCGTCCGCTAAACTTCCACACGCAATATTCTCTGACAAGGAAATGGTCCGATCCGACATGTCGAAACCTGCCCTGATTTTTTTTTCACTGCAAGAGTACACACAACANTGCGTGTTGCGTACTGCTCTGTTCTGCTAGGGGTGGACATTTCTCCAAGGGTCTGGCAGCCTATAATATTGGCCATGTTCAGCAATTTTTAAAAAATACTTGCAGTGCGTATTAGCAGCTAAAATTTTGACAGTGGATTTTGTTGTGTGTACTCTTGCAGTGAAAAAAAAAAATCAGGGCAGGTTTCGACATGACGGATCGGACCATTCCCTTGTGAGACATATCTTTGCTCTACCGAAAACATTGATCACCCTGCTGAGAAACGAGAGTGGATACAGAGGGCTGGCACTTGAGTTGGTTGGCTGCAGATACTGAACACTCGCCAGAAGACCACACTTTTTTCTGGCCATTATCTCCGTAACTGTTCAACTTTGGACATAGGTGTTTTGGGTTATATCGGCATACTTTAACATAAGGAACACCCTCCCGAAGTCTGGCACATTCCTCCTCGGACACCCTATATGTCCCGAATGGGGTTCGAACCCAAGATAAGAGTATTATGCAAACAGCAAAGAACCAGTGTAATGGCAGGCAACCAGTCAGCTGAGATACGGCATGTAATGGTTCCGTGGTAAAACAGCGTGGAAATATTACGCAGCTTATAGCCTACAAACGGACCTTGGCCTACGCAAGATCGAGTCCCGCATTCATAAACCTAGCACAGACATTGTGGTGTACTAAACAATAAAAGAAATAATCAATCAATGGACTACACAGGCAGGTCCGCTCTCTCAATGAACGGGTGGGTGTGAGTGGGCGAACAGGAGTGGCGGTTAGTGACATGGCCGAGATAGAGAAGGGCAAAAAATGAATGAGTATACAAGAGTGAAGGAGTGACTGAGACAGTGAGTGGATCAGTTTGGGATGTGACTGAGTGGGTGGAAGGATGAACTGCTTCCTCCCACTGCATCGAAGTGGACATAGTATCTGTTTGAGGTTATGGTGAAAGTGTACGTACAGTTTTACCAGATGGGTGAATACGTAAGGCTTGCACCGCCTTCGCTCGCTCGGAAGCCGGGATCGTGGGTTCGAATCCCACTAAGGGCATGAATGTTTGTATGCGTTTTTCTGTGTTTGTGTACNTCAGATGGGTGAATACGTAAGGCTATATCTGTAGATTTAGTTTTGCTTTCACTTGTAGCACAATTGCTTCAACACCAATTATTGGGAAGCGAACTCGTTTGTTGTGTAAGCTTTCGCGCTATCAACTTCCCTACGTTCTCTTTCANAAGTGAATGGAGAAGTTCATGGAGGTAGGCCTAGGCCCACTGGGGCTGTAGTGCCAAGGTAAAAAAAAAATACGTAAGGCTATATCTGTAGATTTAGCTTTGCTTTCACTTGTAGCACAATTGCTTCAACACCAATTATTGGGAAGCGAACTCGTTTGTTGTGTAAGCTTTCGCGCTATCAACTTCCCTACGTTCTCTTTCAAGCCTTTCCAGTTCTACATGTTATTGAATGATACGTCAAAGCCAAGTTTAATGCCATCTTCCATGAATGGAAAGTACAAATAGTTAATCTAAACCGTTCTATTTATATACTAAATATTCTACTTCACACAATCACATCAGTTTATCAATACTTACACAACAGATATGGACACTGAAAAAGAAAACATTTCGCTCTTTCTTGACCTATTACATAATTTATGTTTATGTGACGTATTAAAGCTAGGAAATTTGTTGTTATGGCAACCCAAAATGATGTAGTTTCAGATTGTCTAAATCCATGGAACTCACGATTTTCCCAGTATTTTATTGAACCAGAAGTTTCATTGCCGTGTACACAAGAGCCCTTCACGTATCCCTATCCTGAACCAGATCAATCCAATCCGTACCACCCCATCCTATCTTTCTATGATCCATTTTACTTCCTACGTTCCATGTACCAAATTTTATACCCATTTTTCTTAGTGTGAGTCGCTTATACAAAGAATTCGCCGAAGTCCAAGGCCCACCGTAACATTCCCTAACAATATTAATTTTTACTCCCAACTCCCAAGATGGAATAACATCCTTTGTCGACTGTTCGCGACTGCTTATTCAATATATTCGCACCTAACCTCCATACCTGGAGGCCGTGGCCTCCGACCGCAATCCGAGGCCGCTCCGTGCCGTGATGACAAGCCAATTAACATGACATCGTTGCATTACTTTTTTATGTAGAGGGAACAAGAAGTTCTGGAGAGAAATAATCTCCCATCAAAAGCCAAAATCAAAGTCACATTGCGACTGACGGTCAGTCAGTCAGTAAGTCTTGATGTCGAGCCCATCTGGGGCTCATGACCAGATATTAATTATTACCGTTTGAGAGTTGCGGTTTTATTTTTTGGGGCGCCCTCTCCGACGAGAGGACGGGTCTGTCTTTTGCATATGCTGCTGGTCCTTGCCAGCGCAGTCTTTTTCGGGTCCGAGTCCCTTTGGACTCACGTCCATATTTTAGTGTCTCAGATTTTAGACTTCCCGTTTCGTCGCCTCCTACGACTCGCAGGGTCACGGTGGAGGTATTCGACCCCGCCTCCACACGGGGGTAATCTCCCATATTCCTTTCAGTACATATCATTTTATACGACACGGACCGCATAGAAAACACCGCGTCCAGTAGTTCTCTTATTGTTGCGTATGTATTCGTTTACACGGGAAAGTGTTTACCTAACCGTTGCCCAATAACGGCCTTTTCTGGCTCCACAATTCCTAATTATGCGGGAAAGACACACTGACACGCAGACATACAGAGAGAAAGGTGATCTTGTAGGCTCCCTTTTATTTTCCAAAATAAGGAAAGTAGGGTAAAATTGACAGAAGCTTTACTGTACGAAATCTGGTACCTCATCCCTATCCAGAATACGGTAGGCTGGAGGTTTATTTTTAGAGCAATCAGACTTCGGTAAGGTACTACATTTCTATGAACGATTTTGTGACGGAGTTGTAATGCGAACTCGTGCAAAGTTAAACAAGTTTTGACAAAGTAGGTCAACATAATTTTCTCTGTAGGTAGTCTCTCCGCTTTAGAATACACTTGGTAGAGGTTCATACGTTTCCTGATTGCGTCAAAAGAAAATGTTTTCGGTTGGACAGTTTCCTTCACGTAGGGATGCAGTGACACTCAAGCCAATCCTTCTCTGCGCTGGTAGATCTGCGCCTCATCCCGAACACATGTTACAGTCCATAAGCGGCCAGAAGGCACATCAACACTCATAACGTCCGCCGCTATCCGGACAGCATCAGCCGCCTCTGCGTTGGCCTGTGTGCCATAAAATCAATTGACACGTGCTACTTGTGTCAGGCTCTTCACTGTACGTGA